CAGGAGGGGGCTCGGGGGGGAGGGGGCTGGCATCTTCTGCCTCCGGCCCCCCTGTTTTTTTTTTATCCCTACAGGATTTTCCCCCCGCTGGTGCTTTGTGCCGTCTCCCGGCGACAGCGAGGGCAGCCAAGGCAGGGCCAAAGCCGTGCCCACCATCGCTTTTCTTTCTGCCTGCGCCAGGGTGATGCTTGGCAGGAGCAGCAACTTTTTGGGGATGCAGGGGGTGTGTGTGAAGGGTTGACCCCCCACAACCCCCCAGCCCACACAGAGGGGCTGAATGGTGCTTCCCCCCCTCCCTGCCCTTCCCTACCCCCCAATCCTGCCCTGGCTCCACCAGAAATCCCAGCCGGTCCCCAACACCAGGCGCTTTCAGCTCAAGTTTCCAGGATATTCCCTTGTGCCCGGGGGGCAGTGAGCCCGGAGAAAAGTCCCTTTTGTGGTGGGTGCTGGCATCGCCCCGGGGAGGAGACGATGGGGATGCAGCTGCCCAAGGTCATCCTCAAGTTCAAGGCTGCAGCCAGGGGGGGATGGTTTCTGGAGGTTGCTTGGTGCTGTACAGCCCCAGGAGGGGTGTGTTTCCTCCTTGAATCCTTTTGTAGCCCCCAAAATTGGGGTCCTCCTGGCCTGGGGGATGGAGAGGAGCTGGAGATGCAGGTCTGTGCTGGGTGGCTGTGGGGGAAACTGAGGCAGCTCCATCCCTGGTTTCCCCCCAGGGACTGTCCCCAGTGGGGAAAGCAGGAAGAAAAGGCCCCCCCCCAAAATGTGTTTCAGGCAAGGAAAACATTTTGAAGGGGCTGGTGGTGCCCGTGGGGTGTCCCCGGAACCATGCCAAGTGGGGAAGCTGGGGCAGGGAGCAGCCCAGCTGAGCCCCCCCCCTCTCCGGTCTCTCCGCAGGGGATGGCTGTGGCCACACACTGCTGACACCCCACAGCGGCACCCTCAGCTCCAAGAACTACCCAGGCACCTACCCCAACCACACCGCCTGCCCTGCCGCTGGCGGCTGCGCGCCCCCCCGGGCACTTCCCTCCTCCTGGCCTTTGGGGACGTGGACTTGGAGCCCTCTGAGCACTGCGCCCGCAGCTCCCTCCTGCTCGCCGACCCCCAGGCCGGCACTGCCTACGGTAAGGGGGGGGATCCCGGGGGACACTGA